GGCGCAGCTGGAGGGCAGGGACACGGTGCGGACGTAGCTGTTGAGGGTGGCGGGTTTGCTCAGCTTGATCAGCATGATGTCGTTGTCCAGGTTGTAGCTGCTGTAGCGGGGGTGACGGATGACCTTAGCAGAGCTGATGAACTGCTCGGTGCCCTCATTGACAGCAATGTTGTGCTCACCAAGACGCAGCTGGACGCGGCTGCAGAGAGAAGCATGACGGTTAAAATGCATTTAATGCTCATTTCCATTTGCACTGACAGGATCAGCATCTAATTCAAAAATTAAAGTGTGTTGAAGGAAGAAAAAAATGCCACACTGAACTAATGAACGTGGCCACACTGTAAAATGGGAAGTTTTTTCTTAAAAAATGTTGAACAAATTCTTTGAACAAATTACTGTGATTTTACAGATTTTCACAGTTTTGTTTGTTTTCTTTTCCCCAGATAATAAGCAGTAAACACGGATCAATTTACATGTTGACTGTAAAAAAAAACCTAAAAAACAGGCCGATACTGTGACATGCTTCTTTTACGATGTGCGATCATAAAATTTGACTGTATCTAAATATGTAACAAACACCATTATTTTACCAACGTTTGTCATATTTGCATTAAAAATTAGGTACATTACATTTTGAAAAACAGTGAATACTTTTAAGTGCTATTATACAGATTGTCCCTGATTTGTTTCAGTACCGATGAAGTCTGATACAATAAAAGAAAAAAAAATAAAATTTACGTGTGTACTGTGACAAAACTGTACATAATGACTGCAAAATCTGTATTTATACAAATTGTAATACGTTCTTTATCCAAGTGTGGCCATAAAACATTGTTTTACCATATTTACATTGGGAAAAAATATGACTTTGAAGATATTTGCTGTTATTTTCAAAACATTTTCGCAGATTTTCAATTTTTTTTCTTCAGCATATGTATGTATGTTTCTTCATCTAGTCCTAGTATTCCTGTTTTCAGATGAATCTAATGTCTGTTCTCTGCACTTACGACTTGTAGCAGTGAGCAGCAGACACCACCCAGGAGCTGGAGATCAGGGAGCCTCCACAGAAGTGGTAGCCAGAGTTCAGAGAGACCTGGTAGGGCACAGAGTTCTTCCTGCACTCATAGCCTCCAACGATCTTGTCGTCCTCAATGGGAGCGGCATCTGATGGATCATGTTTATGAGCACTTTTAAGTTTTGCAGGATTTTCATTTTCAAATAAGCAGTGTTGAAGTCTTCAGTACTGCAGTATCATTGCTCATATTGAAGCAAGACTCATACTCACATGCCACTGCGAACAGAGCCAAAAGAATGAAAGCCTTCATGGTGGTTCCTGTGTGAGCCTCGGTGCCAGTTCAGCTCCACTGCAGCTCCTTTTAAACCCACACTGTCCCTCTGCTATCTGATTGGCCAAGGACACCTATTTCATTTTCTCCCCTTTATCTTGTACAGTGTGTGAAAACATCTGTGGGACAAGAGCCAAGTGATGATGTGGTTTTTTTCACACATGCCACATGTGCAAGTCTAAACCTTTAAGCACAGCAAGTCACATTTTCTTTATGTAGAAATGTTGTAGTTACACTATTCAGCTTAAATTGTGTGAGACTCTTTTTGCTGTTGTTCCAACCAAAAATACAAAAAAGTGTTTCTCTCAATAGGTTACTGAAGACGCACTACAGAGACAGTTGAACAATACCAGATTTCGTACGTCACGTAAACACGAATGTGTTTTGACATATATTTTAAAAGTTTGACTGATTTTCCATGATGAAGTAATGTTTGTGTCAGAAAACAAAAAAAAATGTGATTAAAATGTTCATAATTTCACCCCTTTTTTTCCCCTCTGAGACTTAATATTCTATTTTTTAATCCAACAAAGTTTGGTCTTTATCAAAAGATGCTGTGTGTAAATGAAAATGTAATTACCTCTTTGTTGTTTGCTTTCAAATTCTATGTAATAAAATAAAGCAGCAGCTGGGTGAATTAAAGATGGAGAAGAAAAATGAGTCAAGAAGTTGGATGGCAAGTTACTGAGAAGCAATAGAGTTTGCTGTCATAAATATGTAGTTACTGTCTTTGTAGGGCAACATAGTGATTTATTGTTTTGACAGCTTTGCTATACAACCAAAAATGAAGACCTAAGGTTTCCTCTGAACACATACACAGCTAGCTAAAGCAAGAGAGGGCTGCATTAGGTCCTGCTAGCTGCTGTGATAACTTTTCTGTATTTTTGGTTGGAACAACAGCAAAAAGAGTCTCACACAATCTAAGCTGAATAGTGTAACTACAACATTTCTACATAAATAAAGAAAATGTGACTTAATTGTGCTTAAAGCTTTAGGCTTGCACATGTGGCATGTGTGAAAAAAACCACATCATCACTTGGCCCTTGTCCCACAGATGTGTTTTCACACACTGTACAAGATAAAGGGGAGAAAATGGAAAAAATGAAATAGGTGTCCTTGGCCAATCAGATAGCAGAGGGACAGTGTGGGTTTAAAAGGAGCTGCAGTGGAGCTGAACTGGCACCGAGGCTCACACAGGAACCACCATGAAGGCTTTCATTCTTCTGGCTCTGTTCGCAGTGGCATGTGAGTATGAGTCTTGCTTCAATATGAGCAATGATACTGCAGTACTGAAGACTTCAACGCTGCTTATTTGAAAATGAAAATCCTGCAAAACTTAAAAGCTCTCATAAACATGATCCATCAGATGCCGCTCCCATTGAGGACGACAAGATCGTTGGAGGCTATGAGTGCAGGAAGAACTCTGTGCCCTACCAGGTCTCTCTGAACTCTGGCTACCACTTCTGTGGAGGCTCCCTGATCTCCAGCTCCTGGGTGGTGTCTGCTGCTCACTGCTACAAGTCGTGAGTGCAGAGAACAGACATAAGATTCATCTGAAAACAGGAATACTAGGATTAGATGAAGAAACATACATACATATGCTGAAGAAAAAAAAGTGAAAATCTGCGAAAATGTTTTGAAAATAACAGCAAATATCTGCAAAGTCATATTTTTTCCCAAACGAAAAAAGGGAAAAAAAAGGTTTACGGCCAAAACTGGAAAAAAAAACGAATAAAAATTGGAAAAAAAAAAAATTTGCAAGCAATAAGGAAAAGTTTGGCAAAAGAAAAAACGAAAATTAATATGTTTTTCTTTTATTGTATCAGACTTCATCGGTACTGAAACAAATCAGGGACAATCTGTATAATAGCACTTAAAAGTATTCACTGTTTTTCAAAATGTAATGTACAGAATTTTGAATGCAAATATGACAAACGTTGGTAAAATAATGGTGTTTGTTATATATTTAGATACAGTCAAATTTTATGATCGCACATCGTAAAAGAAGCATGTTACAGTATCGGCCTGTTTTTTAGGGTTTTTTTTACAGTCAACATGTAAATTGATCCGTGTTTACTGCTTATTATCTGGGGAAAAAGAAAACAAACAAAACTGTGAAAATCTGTAAAATCACAGTAATTTGTTCAAAGAATTTGTTCAACATTTTTTAAGAAAAAACTTCCCATTTTACAGTGTGGCCACGTTCATTAGTTCAGTGTGGCATTTCTTTCTTCCTTCAACACACTTTAACTTTTGAATTAGACGCTGATCCTGTCAGTACAAATGGAAATGAGCATTAAATGCATTTTAACCGTCATGCCTCTCTCTGCAGCCGCGTCCAGCTGCGTCTTGGTGAGCACAACATTGCTGTCAATGAGGGCACCGAGCAGTTCATCAGCTCTGCTAAGGTCATCCGTCACCCCCGCTACAGCAGCTACAACCTGGACAACGACATCATGCTGATCAAGCTGAGCAAACCCGCCACCCTCAACAGCTACGTCCGCACCGTGTCCCTGCCCTCCAGCTGCGCCAGCTCCGGCACCCGCTGTCTGATCTCTGGATGGGGCAACATGAGCACCTCTGGAAGTCAGTGCAACGATAAATACTGGAATCTGGAAAATACTTTGGTGCAGGATGTGGTGGTAGCAATATTTACATGTATTCTTTGTATTTTCTAGGCAACTACCCTGATCGTCTGAGATGCCTGGATGCCCCCATCCTGAGCGACAGCAGCTGCAGGTCCTCCTACCCTGGACAGATCACCTCCAACATGTTCTGTGCTGGATTCCTGGAGGGAGGCAAGGACTCCTGCCAGGTATGACAACAAGCTACTGCTTCTAAAAGTGGACAAACCAAACTTCACAACTCTGTACTAACACCTTGTCTTTCCTCTGTCAGGGTGACTCTGGTGGCCCCGTGGTGTGCAATGGTCAGCTGCAGGGTGTGGTGTCCTGGGGTTACGGATGCGCTCAGAGGAACAAGCCTGGAGTGTACGCCAAGGTCTGCAACTACAACTCCTGGATCCGCAGCACCATGTCCTCCAACTAAATGGGCAGCGTGTCCCCTGTTTTAAATTCATGAAAATTGTCCATTAAAACAGCAACGATGCAGAGCCCAACATCACAGTACACACTGTGAAGTTGAGTGAAATAAATGTATTTTCTATAATATTTCTTTTACTTTGTGGCAATTTTTCCATTATTATCTTAAGCTCACACTTACAGCACATTTTAAAGTAAATCATGACAAAAAGAGGGTTTAAGAAGCAAAGTGTGTTTTCACATTGCATTGATGCAACATCCAAGTAGTGACAACAGAGGTGTTGTTTTACTTTTTTTACCGATATACATCTACCTGTGTATGTGTTCATTTTGATTGAATGAATGAATAGTTTATTTTCGTTGCATTTTGAAGTTACAACACAATAAAACGATTGTTTAGCAAAGCTGTCAAAAGAATAGAATAGAAAACTGTCCGGCAAAGACAGCAACTGCATGCTTATGCCATAGACAGACAGCTGACTACATGGCTATCGTCAGAGAGGCCTGTAGCAAGTCAAGCTAACTTCTGAGATAGCTGCGGCGAGCCAACGCTAAAACACATAATAAGGGGAAATCACTGAGTAAGCTTAGCTTTACTTTGATTTTAACTTTGATATGTGTCCTAAAGGAGCTATTTCCACCATAAATTGATGCAGAAAAAACATTAACTGAATTCAACACAAATTCAAATTTAACTGTTGGCCATGCTAAAGAAAATTAGCGTTAGTTTGATTTCAAGTTTGTCTGTGTCCCAGTACTATTGCTACTTATTCTAAAACAAATATCATAAATTAATGTACAGATAAAGATATTTTAGTACGCGATTTAAAAACAATGGTACCTTAACCACCAATCACATGAAATTCTTAAGTCAAAAAGTTGCATGGCAAGCTACTGAGAGCTGCTAAGCTAGCTGCCAGTAGCAAATACTAGCTGCCTTTTTTTCTTCTCAATCATTAACTCACCAAGCTGCTGCTTTATTTAATTATATAGAGTACTAATGTGAACAACAAAAATGTTGTTTCATTTTGATTTACACATCATAAGAGGAAATCACTGAGTAAACTAAGCTTTAGTTTTAGCATTGATTAGCTGCAGCTATCTGAGCAGCTAGCTCGACTTGATGCAGGCCTCTCTTGCTTTAACTATGTAGTTAGCTGTCTTTCTAAGGCATAGACATGTAGTTACTGTGTTTGTAGGGTAATATAGTGGTTTATTAGTTCAACAGCTTTGCTAAACAACCATTTTATTATGTTGTGACTTTAAAACTCAGACATAAGGTGCCCTCTAAACACATACGCAGCTAGCTAAAGAAAGAAAGGGCTGTTTCAGGGCAAGTTAGCTGCTGAGATAGCTACAGCCAGTCAAAGCTAAAACTAACGCTAAGCTTTGTCAGTACATAATTAAAAAAAAAAAAAAAAAGCAGCAGCAAGGTGAGATAATTCGGGTGACCATATGTTGATTACTGAAAACCAGGACCCTAGGCCCAGCAATGAGATACTCAATTGATACTTGGAAGTTTACTCAAAGATGCATTATAATTTCAATACATGTAAAGTATGTCTCCTCCAGGACCATAGACTGTATAAAAGATGGACGTAGCAACCGGCCCCGAAAAATGAAGCCAACCCGGAAGTGTCAAAAACCTGCAGTGTCACTGCGTCCGCTAGTCCTGGCTCCACAAAGCCCTGGCTCCCATAGAAATGAATTGGAAAAGAAGTGATCACAGATCAGGACATACCGCATTCCTACAGCTCAGGATTTTTTGTTTATTAGTTTTCATGGTCAAGTCCAGAGATCAGGTTCCCAATCTGAAAATAAATCAATACTGAATTTTTAAAAAATCATCAACATGTTGCGGGGCAAGGTGCGTGGCTGGCTTGATTGACAGTCGGGAGCGACCATACAGACGAAGCGAGCAGAAGGCGGTAAATGTGGGCGGGCAGAGAGGGCCCGCCTCTCAATCCATCTGACCAATCGCTGCTCCTATGGCTCCGCCCCCCCCCCTGACGATTTTTGCGTCACTGGCTCCAAAAATCCAAGATGTCAACCAGGAAGTAGCAAAACCCTGGCTTCATTTTCTCAGTGCAGAAACCAACGGGTGACGTCACGGTAGCTACGTCCATCTTTTATACAGTCTGTGTCCAGGACAGGACCAGGACATTTTCATCACTTTATAAAAAAACCACCAGGACAGGATGTGAAAACAGGACATGTCCTGGGAAAAAAAGGACGTTTGGTCATCCTAAGTTAATGATAGAGGGGGAAAAAAGCAGCTAAATTCTTTCAGTAACTTGCCATCTTTTTTGACTCAGGAAGTTCATGTGATGTGGTGGCTGAGGTAGGGTTGATTTTAAATCTCATATTTAAATATTTTTAGTTGAACATGAATGTATTACATTAGCTTCAGAATAAGTAGCAAATAGTACTGGGACACAAAAAAAGTTTAAATCAAAGTAAAGCTAAGTTTACTCAGTGATTTCCCCTTATTCTGTGTTTTAGCGTTGACTCGCCGCAGCTATCTGAGCAACTAGCTTGACTTGATACAGGCCTCTCTGACATTAGCTATGTAGTCAGCTGTCTATCTATGGCATAAACATGTAGTTACTGTCTTTGCCGGGCAATATTCTATTCTATTCTTTTGACAGCTTTGCAAAAACAATCATTTTATTATGTTGTTACTTCAAAATGAAAACCTCTGTTTCCCCCTTAACACATAAGCTGGTAGATGTATATGGCTAAAAAGGAGTCTCCCCCCCAACACCAACCCAAAAAACACCTTTATTGTTCCTGTGATTGGATGCAATGGAACACACGCTGTGCTTCTCCACCTCCCCCCAAAATTAACTCTACGATCCTATTCCTGCACTCACGCATTTGGCTTGAAACCTGTTTTGTCATGATTTACTGTATAAGTGTGCAATGAGTATCATCTTCAGATAATAATAGAAGAACAGCAGAGACATAAATGACTTATTGTTTGAAATAATTTTATTTCACTCAACTTCACAGTGTGTACTGTGGTACTGGGCTCTGTATCATTGATGCTTTAATGGACAATTTTCATGAACTTAATACAGGGGACACACTGCACATTTAGTTGGAGGACATGGTGCTGCTGATCCAGGAGTTGTACTTGCAGACCTTGGCGTAGACTCCAGGCAGGTTCCTCTGAGCGCATCCGTAACCCCAGGACACCACACCCTGCAGCTGACCGTTGCACACCACGGGGCCACCAGAGTCACCCTGAGGCAGTGAAAAGACAAAGTGAGGTTGAGTGGAAGAGTTGTGAAGTTTGGTTTGTCCACTTTTAGAAGCAATAGCTTGTTGTCATACCTGGCAGGAGTCCTTGCCTCCCTCCAGGAATCCAGCACAGAACATGTTGGAGGTGATCTGTCCAGGGTAGGAGGAAGTACAGCTGCTGTCGCTCAGGATGGGGGCATTCAGGCACATCAGACGATCAGGGTAGTTGCCTAGAAAATACAAAGAAATATTGCTACCACCTCATCCTGCTCCAAGGTATTTTTCCAGATATGTTTTCAGTGTTTAACTGACTTCCAGAGGCGCTCATGTTGCCCCATCCAGAGATCAGACAGTTGGTGCCGGCGCCGGCGCAGCTGGAGGGCAGGGACACGGTGCGGACGTAGCTGTTGAGGGTGGCGGGTTTGCTCAGCTTGATCAGCATGATGTCGTTGTCCAGGGTGTAGCTGTTGTAGCGGGAGTGACGGATGACCTTAGAAGAGTCGATGAACTGCTCGGTGCCCTCATTGACAGCAATGTTGTGCTCACCAAGACGCACCTGGATGCGACTGCAGAGAGAGGCATGACGGTTAAAATGCATTTAATGCCCAATTTAATTTGTACTGACAGGATCAGTGTGATATAATTAAGGTGATACAAAAACAGTTTGAACCAAAAAAAAACTGTTTCCCTCTCAGTGTTGACTTTATGTATCAGAAATGAGCCAGTTTGACAGCTGTCTAATGGTGTCAGTTGATTCTAGTGTCCGTTCTCTGCACTCACGACTGGTAGCAATGAGCAGCAGACACCACCCAGGAGCTGGAGATCAGGGAGCCTCCACAGAAGTGGTAGCCAACGTTCAGAGAGGCCTGGTAGGGCACAGAGTTCTTCCTGCACTCATAGCCTCCAACGATCTTGTCGTCCTCGATGGGAGCGGCATCTGACGGATTCACATCATGTTTGTAAGAGCATTTAAGTTTTTACAGGATAGTCATTTAAAAATAAGCAATGTTAAAATATTTAGCATTGCAGTATCTTTGCTTATAATAAAGCAAGACTCATACTCACATGCCACTGCGAACAGAGCCAAAAGAATGAAAGCCTTCATGGTGGTTCCGGTGTGAGCCTCGGTGCCAGTTCAGCTCCACTGCAGCTCTTTTTATACCCTCTCTGCCCCTCTGCTATCTGATTGGCATTTATTGGTATGCTCTCACTGACCAACCTGTGGGAAAACACATCTGTGTAGCAAAGGCTGGCATATTGATAATGTGTATTTTAATCCCACAATCAGTCGTGTACACCGCGTTTATGGAAAATCTGAGTTCATGGATGTGTTTTAAGTAATTGCAGAAGTTTAATCATGTTGCATTTTAGATTTTCTAATCATCTGTTTGTCTTCAAAAGCAATGAACTACATTACTACTGTTCCCTCCTTGTAATCTTGTGCAAAAATACCATAATGTGATTTTAAAAACACACATACAGCTTTATATAAACAATGTTACCTGTACTTCACATATGACATTTACTTACATTACCTACTTTGTTTTTGTAGATCAAAACTGGCAAGACAAGACTACTTAGTAAAAGAAAAGGATTTATTAACACTGTATTTCACTTTTTTTTGTTAAATTACAGATACAGACTAGTAAAGTCACATGAAAGCAATTTTCTTTTATTCCCCAAAAACAGGCAAAAACTGTAAACAATGTCCACTTCAAATATCTGTATTTTTTACAAATGGTGATTTGTTTGACTGTAAAATTACACTGCATGACTGTATTTAAATCTACTTAAAAGATTACTTCATATATATTTGAACAAACTAATATTCCCAATAAGAACTAAATAGTGGTAAATCATTCTTCAACTGTTATTTTCCAGATTTTCTCTGTTTTGTTAAACAGATGATATCTATTAAAATAACTGATATATAAAATAAAATGATATTAATTTACATGTTGAATGTAGAAAAGAAATGAACCAAAACTGTACATAACACCCACATCAAAAATCTGTATAATGACCCATAGTTATTTATTCGTTTACAATATGTGACCATAAAATTGCAGTTTTATTGTATTTACATCATCTAAAAAAAAATTAAAAATGAAATAAATCACTATTTTATCCATATTTGGACATCACAGTATTTCATTGTTGTGGGGGTTTTTTTTGGTCAAATTGCAAACTGTGTATTTTAATGCAGTCTATTTAACTGTAAAATAACTACTTGTAATGATCACACATGATCTCTTAATATATTACATACTACTTTCATATTTTCCTAATTTCTCTATTTTTGAGGGGAAGGAATATATGCTGTCAGATATTTCTTCGATTTATTTGTAATGCTTGTTTTAATAAGTGTTTTTGTTTTGTATTTGTCTATTACTTTCTTCCTGCACTCATAGCCTCCAACAATCTTGTCATCCTCAGTGGGAGCAGCATCTGAGAGATAAAGTTCAAGAGCTTAAACCTCCTCCTGAAACTATCAAATATGGAAAACTGACAACAAACGCTTGCATGCTGCAGCAAAGGGGGTGAAGAAAATGAAGTACTTCATACTTCTTACTGAACCAATACACAGCAGCAGCAGCAGATGTCGCAGGTTTCTGAAGCTTGAAATAAACTCTCAAACTCAACAGCTCTTTATCTAATTCTCTCTCTGAGGTGTTTTTCCAGGCACAATGCTCAGTGATTAAACATTATCCAACCTGGGAAACAGCAGCATGTTCAAAGATAAAAGCACAGTTTTCTATGAATCCATGAATCACTTATAAATGACTACCTAATAGGAACAAAGAGATCAGTGAAGTTGTAAGAGAAACAGGTAAGTCATTTGTTATTTCTACGATTTCAGTAAGGTTGTTTATATATATTGAATTAATTTCGGTTGAATTCAAGCAACTGCCGTGATGTCAGACATAAACAGCTGACTGGTCATTGGACGAGTATGCCAAAACGCTGAGCTACAACTTATTATATTTTTGATGTGATGAATTATCATACAGTATGATCTAACTCAAATGTATTGTCTTGCATGTAATTAACTGCACAATGATTTCCCAGATTTTTTAGTTTTTTTTCTCAGTTTTTGAGGTTTATTTTATTACCAGATAAATTTCACAAAACAAACTATTCTATCTGAAGCCAATCTATTTCTTTGGGCTTTTTTCTCCTTACGTTAAATTTCCTGGTGACAAATGTAATATTTTTCCATGTTGAGCTCATCAGGTTCGCTCTGAATGAAGTCTCTGTGGGTTTTGAGTGAAATGAATAATCTGACTTACTTCTTGCTCCTCCAACTTAGAAGAAGCATGAAGTACTTCATTTTCTTTCCACTCTTTGCTGCAACATGTAAGTTTTTGTGGTCAGTTTCTTTAACTTTTATATTTTATTGTTTCAGGAGGGGGTTTAAGCTCTTGAACTTTATCCCACAGATGCTGCTCCCATTGAGAATGGTAGGACTGTTGAAAGCTATGAGTGCAGGAAGAACTCTGTGCCCTACCAGGTCTCTGTGGCGGGTGGCTACCACTTCTGTGGAGGCGCCCTGATCTCCAGGACCTGGGTGCTGTCTGCTGCTTTGTGCCGTTCGGCGTAAGAGCAGAGAACAGACATTAGAATCATCTGACACCATAAGAATATTAGAATTTGATGGAGAAAGATACATACATAGCCACTTTTGTTGGTTCTGACTGGCATTTTTCCCCTTCAACACACTTTTTACTTTTTGAATCAGAAAGAAGTCTGTTTTTTAACTAGAAATATTATTCACCTCAGAACAAATGGAGTTACAATTAAATGTATTTTTGCTCTCATGCCTTTCTCAGCGGCTCCATCCAGGTGCTTCTTGGTGAGCACGACATTGATGTCAATGAGGGCACCGAGCAGTCCATCGACGCTGTTAAATTCATCATTCACCCCTACTATAATAGGTACAATGAGGATAACAACATCATGCTGATCAAGCTCAGCCAACCTGTCACCCTCAACAACTACATCCGCACCGTGTCCCTGCCCTCCAGCTGTGCCGTCGCCGGCACCCGCTGTCTGATCTCTGGATGGGGCTCCACCTATGACTCTGAAGGTCAGTACAACACTGAAAACATATCTGGAAAATACTTTGATGCAGGATGGAGTGGTAGCAATATTTTCGTGGATTATTTTTTATTTTATAGACACCACCCATGATCTTCTGAGGTGTCAGGATGCCCCCATCCTGAGCGACAGAAGCTGCAGGTCCTCCTACCCTGGACAGATCACCTCCAACATGTTCTGTGCTGGATCCCTCGAGGGAGACCAGGTCTACGTTCAGGTATGAGAACAAGTCACCATCTCTGCTTGTAAAAGTGGACAAATCAAACTTCAGAACTCCTCTATGTACACCTAGCCTTGTCTTTCTTCTGTCAGGGTTACTCTGGTAGCCCCATCGTATGCAATGGTCAGCTGCAGGGTGTGGTGTGCTGGCTTGGCGGAATAGTCGGGAGCAACGATCCTGGAGTCTACACCAAGGTCTGCAACTACAATTCCTGGATCCGCAACATCATGATCTCCGAATAAATGGAACAAAAGTCACTTCAACCAACATCAGTCTCAAGAAACTATGACAGTAGTTTTGAGTAAATAAATGATCAAGCTAAATCTCTGTCATTCCTTGTTTTGTGCTGTTGGACAAATATACCAATTATAAATCCTTCAGCATGTTGGGAACGAGGAGAAATACTAATCTTCCTTTAGACATGAATACACGATATATTTCAAAACATTCTGAGATCTTTGCAGAAATATGAAAGAGTCCTAAATCTGCTTATCAAAAACATGTAAAACCGCATTTTCCTCCCAATACTGAGAGAACATATCTAGTAAAAATGAAAAAGATATGCAATTGTTTCTGTGTTTTAGCATGTAAAGTACTGATGAGAAAGAGGTAAACATTTGTCCAGTTTGAATTATTTACATTTAGATAAATAGGTATGAAAGAACTCATATGGAATTGTGTTGTAAACAAACGGTGTTGAACAAATCATAATATGTTTTATATTTTTAGATTCTTACATGAGAGAACTGGTATCCATAGCCGCTCTTTGCAGTGATCTGGCTGAGGGGGTTTAGGCCTATGAGGAACAGCAGTGGTGAACGTGCCACATTTGTTGGTGACTTGTGCATTTGGCTTTGAGTTGGCCTCCAGTATTGTTTTCCAGAGCCCCATTAAGTTCTTGATAAAGGCTTTTAGTGTCCTGTTGATATTGTACAACTCCAAGCATCTTAGGATCCATGTGCGTGGCACTGAGTCATAAGCTTTCTGGTCGTCAATCCAGGCCGTACACAGGTTGATCTGTCCGGTCTCGCAGTCTTGGGTGACTGCTCTGTCTACCAGTAGCTGATGCTTGGCTCCTCTGGTATTGCAACCAATTCCCTTCTGGGCGCTGTGCATGTATTGGACCATGTGCCTGTTCATCGTAGCCGCTGTGATGCCTGACAGGAGCTTCCATGTTGTACGGAGGCAGGTTATTGGCTGGTAGTTTGATGAGATCGCACCCTTCTGGGGGTCTTCATGATCAGGAACAGTCACCCTTGGGTTAGCCATTCTGAGGGAATCCCATCTGTCAGCAGTTGATTCATTTGTACTGTTAGGTGGTCGTGGAGTGCAGTTAGCTTCTTTAGCCAGTAGGCGTGGGTCATGTCCAGGCCTGGTGCTGTCCAGCTTTTTATACCTGACACTCTTTTTCGGATGTCTGCAACTGTGATGGTCACTGGTTCCTGTTCTGGGAAATTGCTGTGATCAGCTCTTAGGTCCACTAGTCACTGAGCATCAGTGTTATGTGATGCTTCTTTTTCCCATATGCTCTTCCAGTACCTCTCAGTCTCAGCTCTGGGTAGAACCACATTGTTGCACCACGTTGTTCTCTTATCTCAAGGTTGGTGGACTGATCCTCTGTCCCTCCACAGTCAAAGCATCTTTCGGCAAGACACTGAACCCGAAGTTGCTTCCAATGGGCGAGCAAGCACTTTGCATGGCAGCTCTGTCGCCACTGGTGCATGAATGCGTGTGTGAATGAGAAACACATTGTAGAGTGCTTGGATAGTTTGGTGGAAAACACTCATTTTATTGTCCTTTTTTCAACTTCTTTGTTGTATCTCTTTACTTGGGTAGCCAGTGCTGTGAGTCTCTTGTGCCTCTGGTACAGAAAGCTGGTGGTACTTCCCAGGAAGCCCTTTCTTCCCCACACCTTTCTGAAGCGCTGAGAGTGAACTAACGTCTCTCAGCAACTCCATTATCTTGGCCTCTAGCCTCCTCCTCCACACGGCCATTGTTCTTTGATATTTATGCTGTTCATCTATAGCTGAGCATCCCTAGGATCACTGTTGCTGTGGTGTACATCAGCTGGTTGATCTTGGTGATGGTTGTCGTAGGGATAGTTTGTAGCTTTGGATTTACACCTTCTAGCAGACTTTCAGAGGGTACTTTACTCAGCCACAGTAATCGGCTCCGGAGGTACCAGTTTTCCAACTTGTCCATCATCTTCATTCTCAGGTCCTATGTTAAGGATCTTTGTGCTTATTGGGGCTTGGTACTCAATCTCTGATGCAGGGAGGACGGATGTACCTCCTCTCTGGCCAGTCGTCCTGGCTTGTCCCATTTGCCATAGCATCATTGTTGTACCTTGTCAGTCTGTAGTTGTGAGCAGTTGTCATTTGTGGATGTTGGAATACTTGGCTAGTAGCTGTTTCATGGTTCATGTTTCATGGTTCATTTCACAGTCGGGTTGCTTGTCCGGTAGCATTCCATCAGCTCCAGGTTCTGGTCTCTTGTCCATTTGTGCCTTATTTCAGTAGCTCATTTGCCAGACACACACACTATATATATGTATATATGTATATATATATATACTTTCTGAAATAAGATTGCAAACTGTATTTGCTTATTTTTAGGAGGAAAGCATACTTGGTATGAAATATTTCTCTGATTTATTTGGAATACTTGTGTTTTTGATGTAAGACTTTAGGTCTCTCTACAGCAGGGGTTCTCAACTGGTGGGTTGCGACCCAAAAGTGGGTCGCGGACAGCTGGTCAAAATTAAATAATATATAATGTGCATCTCAGGTTGGAGGGCTGCAGGGTGGCGCAGTTGGTAGCACTGTTGCCTCGCAGCAAGAAGGTTGCCGTCCCGGTGGGGGCACCGGAATCTTTCTCCCCGTGTTGTTTTGTTCCCTTTTTTATTTTGTGCAGTTTTGTACACACAGCTGTCATGGTCCAGTTACTATGCATGGTTATATGCTCTGAAATGCATGTTGCACAGGAAACTATATTGAATATTGAATACTAAATTATAAAAAAAATTGGGTCGCGACTTAATGAACATGGGAAAATGTGGGTCCCAGGGTGAGACCAGTTGAGAACCCCTGCTCTACAGTATTTATGAATATATTATTTGTCACACTAGCAATCCAGAGAAAACATGAAAATATACACCAATCTGCCACAATGTTAAAATCACTGATGGCTAAACATCTAAAATATTAATCATCTCGTTAAAATGCAGCATTTTCGCATACAGTGCACTTATATGTTGTGCACTGCATGTTTTATATTATGAGATGTTTTATCTCTATCTTGGTGTAGAATGTCTCATTTTTTTCCCTTTTTTTTTGATATATTTAGGACTCCGAATTTTTTTCAGTATATCTTGTGTTCGTGTCTAAACTAAGATTTGCAATTTTCCCCATTCCCTTATTGCTGAAGGGTTTAGAATTTGAATCTTTTTCCAACAGCACAAAACAGCAAATGACAGAGACTCAGGTTGATCATTTATTTACTTGAAACTGCTGTCATAGTTTCTTGAGATTGATGTTGGTTGAAGTGACGTCAGATTCATTGATTCATAGTGTCACGGATCCAGGAGTTGTAGTTGCAGACCCTGGTGTAGACTCCAGGCTTCCTCCTCTCAGCACATCCATGACCCCAGGACACCACACCCTGCAGCTGACCATTGCACACCAGGGGGCCACCAGAGTCACCCTGACAGAGGAAAGACAAGGCGAGGTGTGAATAGAGGAGTTTTGAAGTTTGGTTTGTCCACTTTCAGAGGCAGTGGTTTGTTGTCATACCTGGCAGGAGTCCTTGCCTCCCTCCAGGAATCCAGCACAGAACATATTGGAGGTGATATCTCCAGGGTAGGAGGACCTGCAGCTGCTGTCGCTCAGGATGGGGGCATCCAGGCACATCAGACGATCAGGGAGGTCGCCTAGATAATATAAAAGAATACATGTAAATATTGCTACCACTCCATCCTGCACCAAAGTATTTTCCAGATATGTTTTCAGTGTTTAACTGACTTCCAGAGGCGCTCATGTCGCCCCATCCAGAGATCAGACAGCGGGTGCCGGCGACGGCACAGCTGGAGGGCAGGGACACGGTGCGGACGTAGCTGTTCAGGGTGGCGGGTTGGCTGAGCTTGATAAGCATGATGTCGTTGTCCAGGCTGAAGCTGCTGTAGCGGGGGTGACGGATGACCTTAGAAGAGTCGATGAACTGCTCGGTGCTCTCATTGACAGCAATGTCATGCTCACCAAGACGCACCTGGATTGAACTGCAGAGAGAGGCATGAGGGTAAAACTACTTTTAATGGTAATTTCCATTTGTACTGACAGGATCAGTATTACTAATTCGGGTGCAGACTTACTTCTTTCTGATTCAAAAACTAAAAAGTTTGTTGAAGGGGGAAAAAAATGCCAGTCTGAACCAACAAAAGTGGCTGTGTATGTATCTTTCTCCATCAAATTCTAATATTCTTATGGTGTCAGATGAATCTAAAGCCCGTTCTCTGCACTTACAACTTGTAGCAGTGAGCAGCAGATACCACCCAGGACCTGGAGATCAGGGAACCTCCACAGAAGTGGTAGCCAAAGTTCAGAGAGACCTGGTAGGGCACAGAGTTCTTCTTGCACTCATAGCCTCCAACAATCTTGTCGTCCTCAATAGGAGCAGCATCTGAGAAATAAAGTTCAAGAGCTTAAAGCCCCTCCTGAAACAATAAAATAGGGAGTTAAAGAAACTGACTTCAAAAACTTACATGTTGCAGCAAAGAGGGTGAAGAAAATGAAGTACTTCATACTTCTTACTGAGACAATACGCAGCAGCAGCAGATGTCGCAGGTTTCTTGGCTTCAAATAAACAAAACAGAACTTAACAGCTCTTTATCTAATTCTCTCTCTGAGGTGTTTTTCCAGGTACAATGCTCAGTGATTAAATATTATCCAGCCTGGGAAACAGCAGCATGTTCAAAGATAAAAGCACAGTTTTCTATGAATCCATGAATGTCTTATAAATTACTACCTAATAGGGACAAAGAGATCAGTGAAGTTGTAAGAGAAACAGGTAAGTCAGAATCATTTGTTATTTCTCCGATTTCAGTAAGGTTGTTTATATATATTGAATTAATTTCGGTTGAATTCAAGCAACTGCCGTGATGTCAGACATAAACAGCTGACTGGTCATTGGACGAGTATGCCAAAACGCTGAGCTACAACTTATTATATTTTTGATGTCATGAATTATCATACAGTATGATCTAACTCAAATGTATTGTCTTGCATGCAAGTAGCTGCACAATGATTTCCCAGATTTTTTTCTGGAAGAAAATGATTTAAATTATGGGGGAAAATTTTTCTCAGTTTTTGAGGTTTATTTTATTACCAGATAAATTTCACAAAACAAACTATTCTATCTGAAGCCAATCTATTTCTTTGGGCTTTTTTCTCCTTACGTTAAATTTCCTGGTGACAAATGTAATATTTTTTCCATGTTGAGCTCATCAGGTTCGCTCTGAATGAAGTCTCGGTGGGTTTGTGTATATTACAAACACCAGTTTTAAGGAGTGTGTCTGTATGAGGAGAATTCTGGTAATAAAAAAAGAGTGATTCACGGATTAGTGGAAAACTGTGTTGTTGTTTTATTTTATTTATGTATTTATTTTTATCTTTGAACATGCTGCTGTTTCCCAGGTTGGATAATGTTTAATCACTGAGCAGTGCACCCGGAAAAACACCTCAGACAGAGAATTAGATAAAGAGCTGTTGAGTTCTGTTTTGTTTATTTGAAGCCAAGAAACCTGCAACATCTGCTGCTGCTGCGTATTGGTTCAGTAAGAAGTATGAAGTACTTCATTTTCTTCACCCTCTTTGCTGCAACATGTAAGTTTTTGTGATCAGTTTCTTTAATTCCATGTTTCTTGTTTCAGGAGGGGGTTTAAGCTCTTGAACTTTGTCTCACAGATGCTGCTCCCACTGAGAATAACAAGATTGTTGGAGGCTATGAGTGCAGGAAGAACTCTGTGCCCTACCAGGTCTTTGTGGTGGCTGGCTACCGTTTCTGTGGAGGCGCCCTGATCTCCAGGACCTGGGTGGTGACTGCTGCTGAGTGCTACAAGTTGTAAGTGCAGAGAACAGACATTGGAATCATCTTACACTATAAGAATTTTCAGATTTGATGGAACAATGTACATACATAGTGTGACACCTGGAAAGATGTTCATTTTGTTTGTATATATATATATTGTGTATATATTTTCACTTTATTCAGTTGATTATGCAGAAACTTCCAGTTATTTGGTTCAAACATAATTACACCGTCCAGTAGGGGGCAGTATAAAAAGGTGTGCCGTGAAATTACTGCCAGGTAGAAGAAGTCTTGCTCTTTGTTTTGTTGTTGTCTTGTGTGGCTAGAAGTTTGAGCGTGTAAAAAAGGAAGGTGTGTGCCTGTTGTTGCACCGACAGCTTGTTTGTTTTACCAGTCCTGCCAGTGAAGTAATAAAAGTGAACTCATGTTTCTCCACCATACTGTCTTGGTCTAAGAGGTGAAACAATAGCAACTTTTGTTGATATAGACTGGCATTTTTTCACCTTTAACACTTTTGACTTTTTGAATCAGAAAGATGTAAGTCTGTTCTTGAAACAGAACTACTATCCAGGTGCGTCTTGGGGAGCACGACATTGCTACCAATGAGGGCACAGAACGGTTCATCGATGCTGCTTATGTCGTCCGTCACCCCGACTACTTCCGGGACGCCGACATCATGCTGATCAAGCTCAGCCAACCTGTCACCCTCAACAACTACATTCGCACCGTGTCCCTGCCCTCCAGCTGTGCCGTCGCCGGCACCCGCTGTCTGATCTCTGGATGGGGCTCTGAAGGTCAGTACAACACTGAAAACATATCTGGAAAATACTTTGATGCAGGATGGAGTGGTAGCAAAATTTACATGGATTATTTTTTATTTTATAGACAACACCCCTAATCTTCTAAGGTGTCAGGATACCCCCATCCTGAGCGACAGAAGCTGCAGTTCCTTCTACCCTGGACAGATCA